TCCGAGGCGGAAGCCACCAGCCGGTGTTTTGGGGGTGCTGCCCCACGCTCTCGCATCCACGGCAGGGGGGAGAGGCCCTCCCCGGCCGGGTGTTTTGGCCAGGCGGCAAAGCGAGAGCGTGCCTTGGCACCGTCCCCAGCCCGAGGAGCCGGGGAGGGGAGGCGTGAGCGGGGCCTGCGCGCCGGTACATAACGTTCTGCTGCGAGCACCCACAGGAAAACCAACCAGCAGCCCTGAACGGGGCTCTTTGTTCAGCTTTTTTTTTTTTTTTTAATATATTTTTTTAATTTTCTTTTCCCTCCCCTCCCCGCATCAACTTTTGCTCGCAGCTGACGGGCTCCCTTCCCCCTCCCTGTCGCTCCGCTCCCAGCTGCAGCCTCCAAATAGCTGCCCCCGGCGATGCTGCAGAGACCCCTGAGCTGGGGGGCAGGAGGGGGAACGGTGCTTCAAAACTCCGAGGAGGAATTCCCGGCTCTGCGAAGCAGCAATAGGGCAGGTGGGGAGCATCCAAAGGCAAATCTGCCGTTGGAGGAAGGGGAGCGCAGGGTTGGTGAGGGTTTTTTTGTTTTTATTTTACCATGCAGCAATCCCTCCGGTTTTCACCGCCCTACATAAAGTGTTTACTGAGCGGGAGGAGGGAACGGCCAACAACATGTTTTTGCATTTGTAGTACTGTACAGGGTGAACTTTTCACTTCCTCTCCATGGCTCTCGCACATGTGTCTATTTTGGTGCTGGGCGCACACACAAACAAGCCATGTACGGCACAGAGCCGGGGACGTTCCCTGCTCCCGCTCCATCCAGCCGCAGAGAAACGGCTGGAAAACAAGGAATGGGAGGAGGGCGAGGGGGTGGAAATCTCAGCCCCGATGTGTTTCGGAGACTTTGGCATGCGTCGGGCTTGCGGGGAGATCTGGGCAATGCCTGGGCACTGCGTCCCCTCGGCAGAGCCGGAGGCGCCGATCCTCCGGCGTCCCCAGAGGCCTGGCAGAGTGGAAAAATTTCACGTCGAGCAGTAAAAAGGAAAAGCTCTTTCTGCATCTCATTACGCTGGCTGCAGCACGCAGGGTCGGCGAGTGGGTGGGACTCAGCGCGAGCAAGGGGGGGTTCGGGGCTCCGTTTCCAAACCCCACGACGTTCTCTTGATACGGGGATATTTTTGGCAAGTTTGGCCAAGGTAGATTGAGGTGGCTGGAGCAGGCAAGATTAAAAAATAGATGGTTTCAAACAAATAAACAAGTCGACGATCGAAACGCTCCCTTCTTTTCAAAATAACCCCATCTGGGATGGCGTTTTCATACCGAATGCCATCACGTTTGAAGCGATACTGGCCGAGGACCCGCTTGCTGTGCAGGAGGCCCCCGCAGAGCGGCGGCTGGCGGCCCTCCAGGGCCGGGGAGGAGGTTTTTCCGGGCTGTGCACAAGGGGGGGAAGGCGGCGTAGGACACGTCTCAGCCTTACGTGAGAACGCCCGTACGCGGTTTCAGAAACCGCACAGTGAATTTCCATGGGTGCGGAGCTGGAACTGGGGCTTCCTCTGCACATCGGGGCTGGCTTTTGGGCGGCGTGTGGCTCTGGATCGTGAAAAGCTGACTCTGATACTAGAAATAATTTATAAACAGAAACAAACGCAGAACGTGTCTGCGTACTTTCTTCCCCTTAGTTTTAGCTCACACAAATAGCTGGTGATATAACTAAGATGAGGATGGATTCAAACGGATCTGTTTCAATCCAGATGCGGCTGGACTGAAGTAGTGAGTAAAAACAAAATGATCTCGTAAATAAGATGTTGAAAATGGAAGAATTAGGCATCTGGAGCAGTAAGTCGTACAATTGCTTAAATACAGTGCTGAGCCTATCCCCCTGCTGGCTAGCGAGAACGGGGAGTTAAGGCTCTAATCAATGGAAAATTAACATGTTGAAATGGTTATGCCAGAAACTGGAAATTCAGTTCCCCTCAAGAACAGCAGTGAAGTACAAACAAAACCCAAGATGATTAAAATGGGTAGATTTAAATAAGGGTTTTCTGCTGGCAGAGTTAAAATCTGATTTAAATCAATCCACTTTTGAGCGTAAACCGAGTGTGGTTTGGTTCCTCTCAGAGGGTTTTTTCAAATTGAACTGAAGTTGACCATCGTAACAGCCAAGCTGCCTCTACGCTTCATGAAACCTCCTGTTACTGACTGAACAGCTGATTGTTTCTTTCATCTGCCCCCCCTGCACCAAGCTTCGAAAAGATAAACGGTTTCAAAGACAGAATTATTTTATTATCACAGAGCAATCTAATAGATACTAAAGAGGGAAAAGAGTTTCAGGGTATTAAAGATACAGCTTCTACATCAGAGAGCAGTGTCCTACCAGTGCTCGCTGGGCAGACACAAAAGAAACAGCAACGGAGAGAGAACTGCGATACACCAGGTGCCTCTGGAGAAAGCATCACCACTTGCCCCCTCTCAGCTGACCCAGGACGGTTCTCGTCCTGTTCGTCCCCCAAAACAACGGCTGGGGCTGAAGAGCGTTTTTGGCAGGGTGCTGTACCTCCGCTCTGCAGAGGCCCGGCTCCAGCGGTAAAGACGCAGGCTTCCCCCAGCCCGCGGATCACCCAGTCCGTCGGCCACGCGCTGGGGAAAGGCCAGACTGAGTTACTGGGTTGCCTTCCCCACCACCATGCTGGAAGTCTTCCCTCTTCTGTAAACAATAAGGTGATTCTCCGGGTTCTGTAAAACTGATCCTACCTTCTAAGTTACAGAAACCGAGCCCTGCCAAGACACTAACGCTGCAGAGGACTTAAAGAATCCCGTCATTTCCATTTACTGGCGGCTTTTTGGGGGGTCTTCACTCTCAACTTAAAAAAAAAAAAAAAAAAAGCAGCCCAGTCCTGCCGATGCAGCTGTCAGCATCCTGATAAACGGGGGTGTGTTTTGAAGCCGGGCCAGAGAATGTTTTTCTTCTGCTCCCTGACAGCAGCGATCCAGACACGCTCAGCCCGAGGAGGGAGTGAATCCCAGGAGCTGCTCTATTGGCTTGTACCTCCACTCATCTGCCTCCAGCTCTTCCACCAGACCGGCTAGTTTTTCCATCCGTGCGACTTGTTGATCTGCGAGAAGTTCAAAGGTAACTGCGGTTTGCAATGACAGCGCAATTAAAGCTTTCAATTAGATGCAAATTCCCAGCTGTCAATGGGGAATAGAGTAGAATAAACCCCAACGAGCCCATCTGAACACA